AAAAAAAAAAAAAAAAAAGAAAAGAAAAGAAAAGGATAAGAACAAGGGGGTGGGAATTTATCCAGTGCTACTCAGATGTACCATCAAAACCCACACTCTTTACTTCTCCACCGTCCAATCTGATTTGATCTGACCCCATCTGTTCATTCTCCTCTTCATCTCTCTCTCTCTCTCTCTCCTCTTTTGGATCACTGAATTCCGAATATGCTTCTTCCCACCACTTGAGCGTTGTTTCGTTTTTTATTTTTTGTATTTCCTCTCCAAATTGGTAAATTATTTAAAAAAAAAAAAAAGTTGAAATTTGGATTTGTGTATCCTTTTCTCCGGGGTCTCAGTGGATTCATCATCTCAGTACTCTGGGAGAAACGGTGTGTGTTCGTGTTCATGTTCTTCTCTCTTCTTTCTTGTCTGAATCCAGTCGGAAGCCTTCTAGAAGTAGAACCAAACCCCCGAAATCAATTCTCCCCAACATTTTCTTTCAACCCCGGATTTTCAATTTCTCGTTCTGGTTTTGGTTCGATTTCAGTCGCTTTTTCCCTAGTTTTAAACGGGTTTTTGAAATACCCATTTCCCTCAGTTTCATGGATTGATCTTACAGACTGAAATCCCTTCAGAATCCATGGTTTCCAGGTCGTATTCCAATTTACTCGAACTCGCCACCGGAGAATCGCCGTCTTTCGGCCGTATAAACCGCGAAATCCCCCGGATTGTGACCGTCGCCGGCTTAATCTCCGACGTCGACAACGACCCATCCGAGAGCGTCTCCTCGGAGCCGTCCTCCTCCTCCACCTCTCGCGACCGGATTATCATCGTCGCCAATGAGCTTCCCATCAGAGCCCACCGGATATCCGGCAACGGCGGAGCCACCACCAACTGGACTTTCAGCTGGGATGAAAATTCCCTTCTCCTCCAGCTGAAAGACGGGCTGGGAGATGATGATTTTGAAGTGTTTTATGTGGGTTGTCTTAAGGAAGATATTCACCCAAATGAACAAGATGAAGTCTCTCAAATACTTCTAGAGACTTTCAAATGCGTGCCAACATTTCTCACTCAAGATCTTTACACAAGGTACTACCATGGCTTCTGCAAGCAGCAGCTATGGCCTCTGTTTCATTACATGTTGCCTCTGTCGCCTGACCTCGGCGGTCGATTCAATCGACCACTATGGCAGGCTTACGTTAAAGTTAATAAAATCTTTGCTGATAAGATCATGGAAGTGATCAATCCTGAAGACGATTTTGTTTGGATTCATGATTATCATCTTATGGTACTGCCTACTTTTTTGAGGAAGAGATTCAATAGGGTTAAGCTTGGATTCTTTTTGCATAGCCCTTTCCCTTCGTCGGAGATATATCGAACACTTCCGATCCGGGAGGAGCTCTTACGAGCACTCCTGAATTCAGATTTGATAGGGTTTCATACTTTTGATTATGCTAGGCATTTTCTATCTTGTTGTAGTCGAATGTTTGGTCTAACGTATGAGTCGAAACGGGGTTATATCGGGATAGAGTATTACGGTCGAACGATTAGTATTAAGATCCTTCCTGTTGGGATTCATATGGGTCAGCTTCAGTCTGTTTTGAGTCTTGGGAAGACTGAGGAGAAGGTTAGTGAGGTTATAAAGCAGTTTCGTGACCGGGATCGGATCATGTTGCTCGGTGTGGACGATATGGACATATTTAAGGGGATAAGTTTGAAGCTTTTGGCTATGGAGCAGTTGTTGATGACGCACCCTGAGTGGGAGGGGAAGGTTGTGTTGGTGCAGATTGCCAACCCTGCAAGAGGTAGAGGGAAAGATGTTAAGGAAGTTCGGGACGAGATGAAGGCAACTGTTAGGCGGATTAACGATACGTTTGGGAGACCTGGGTACGAGCCAATTGTGTTGATTGAGGAACCACTCAAATTCTATGAGAGAATTGCATATTATACGGTTGCTGAATGTTGTTTGGTCACAGCGGTTCGAGACGGTATGAATCTCATTCCATACGAGTACATTGTCAGTCGTCAAGGGAATGATAAGTTGGATAAACTCATGGGCTGGGAATCATCAGCTCCGAAGAAGAGTATGTTGGTATTATCCGAGTTCATCGGGTGCTCTCCATCCTTAAGTGGAGCGATTCGAGTTAATCCCTGGAATATCGATGCTGTAGCTGATGCAATGGAATGTGCATTGGAGATGGCAGATGCAGAGAAGCAGCTCCGCCATGAGAAGCATTTTAGATATGTGAGCACGCACGATGTCGGGTATTGGGCTCGGAGTTTCCTACAAGATTTGGAGAGGACTTGTAGGGATCATGTGAGGCAGAGATGTTGGGGTATCGGGTTCGGTTTAAGTTTTAGAGTTGTGGCTCTTGATCTGAACTTCAGGAAGCTCGCTATGGAACACATAATTTCGACTTATAAGAGGACGAAGTCTCGGGCTATTCTTTTGGACTACGATGGTACGTTAATGCCTCAAGCTTCAATTGACAAGGGCCCTACTTCAAAATGCCTCGAAACTCTTGATACCTTGTGTCGAGATAAGAAAAATACAGTGTTCATTGTGAGTGCGAAAACTCGAAAAACACTTGCTGAATGGTTTGCCCCTTGCGAAAAACTCAGCATTGCTGCCGAGCACGGATACTTTATTAGGTGAATTCTCACACAATGAATACGTTCTCTTGTATCGTTCCATTGATCGTACATCCGAAATTAAAGCGATCATCCTCCTCTTCTTTCAGGCTAAAGCAGGATGAGGAATGGGAGACCAGTTTGCCAGTTGCAGATTGCTGTTGGAAGCAGATTGTGCAGCCAGTGATGAAACTCTACACTGAAACAACCGATGGATCGACAATCGAAGATCGAGAAACCGCACTCGGATGGTGTTATGAAGATGCAGATCCAGATTTCGGTTCGTGTCAAGCTAAGGAGCTCCTGGATCATCTCGAAAGCGTCCTAGCCAACGAGCCAGTTACCGTAAAAAGTGGTCAAAGCATTGTGGAAGTCAAACCACAGGTACAAACTCATTGCCTTCATCGTTTAATTACCATTGTTTCTGATCTTCATACTCCATTAATTTACTAAATGAGTTACTTTTGGACTGGCTATAATCATGTGTACTGTCATAACTTTATTCGAAATCCTTAGAAACTATTCGTTCGATTATCGACCGGTAACTAACAAAACCGTTGATTTTAACTGAGGAGTATTTTTTCCTATCAACCTTAACAATGGATGACCTGATGACCGTAGGGCGTCAGCAAGGGTCTCGTAGCGAAACGACTACTCTCTGCAATGCAAGATAAGGGGACCCCAGCAGATTTTGTTCTCTGCATTGGCGACGACCGATCGGATGAAGACATGTTCAAGGTGATCTCAAGTTCCATGGCAGGTCCATCGATTGCACCCCGAGCTGAAATTTTTGCATGTACGGTAGGGAAGAAACCAAGCAAAGCCAAGTATTACCTCGACGATCCATCGGAAATTGCAAGGCTGATGCATGGTTTGGCTTCGGTGTCGAGGCCGAACGTCCCGCCTTATCCATCCCCAAGCTGAACAACAAGGTGCATAATAAGCTTGAAGTTTTTGATTTGTCAATCTCTTTTACACTTCACATTGTACATACTGCTGCAGTTCCACGCAAGGAAGAAAGTAAAAGATGTAAATGAGCGGGGCTTTGATGAACTTAAAAAAAAGATATGTGAAAAAAAATGTTTTTTTATTATCATATTATATTTTCCATGTATTTTTATTTTTCCTAGAGCTATAACTATTTATTTAGTTACTATGTTTGTGATTATTTATTTAAAATTTTCAAAGTCAATTTTACAATGGAAGATTAATTTATAAAATTAATTTTAAATGCAAACTTACCTAAAAATTATGGCAATGAGTAGGGTGATTATTAATAATTTAATGTGCAATAAAATTCAACCATTTTTTGTAATCAACATTATTCAACAAAATATTCTAAAATTTTGGTACAAGCAAGATAGCTTTAATTTTCTTTAATGCATATTTATTAACTTTTCTTTAATAAAATTTAATTATACAATAATGATGAACTTTAGGTCGTTTCAATAATGCAGAATATTCAATATATGTAATAATTTTTTTACGTTAGTATAATTTTCTCCTAGGTCACTTATTGACTATTTACAATTAAATTAATAACCTATAATCTTTATATTGATGGATATTATAAATGGTAAAAAAAAATATCAATTTTGAGTTTTTAGGACATGAATTCCAACCGACTAACTTAAACCTTATCCAACTTGCTCTCGATGAGATCATAGAGATGTTCACGAGGTGGGTCAGGACTATCTCCATCATCTCGAATATGATTCTCGTCTCCAACTCCATTTACCTCATTTTTTTTCGTTTAAATGGTGATTTTAGTCATCAAGCTAAATAGATATATTGGGTGTTTGGTGTCATAGTCATGCTCGTGCAAGGCGTGTTGTCCCGCATGCCCATGTCATGCTAAACCCTTTATTTGATTTTATGTTGTATTGTCTTACTATTATATTTTCTGTTTACGTGACTATTGAGCGAAACATGTCTAGGCCTGCTAGATCGGAATCGCCTCAAAATGTACCATAAAGGATGCAACTAGTCGTCAACTCCTCCCGCCTAGATTTTGCATTACTGTTCGGTGAAATTATGTTTACGACTGCCAGACCTGAATCACCTCAAAATATATTATAGGGGATGCACGTAATCGTCAATTCTTGGTACCTGAGGTTATATGCTTTCTAAGCGGTTCTAATGTCTCTTTTTTATAGCCTATAACATTGCTTTCAAAACCTTATTTTCGTCTTGCTTTCAAACTCTTTCAAAAATCTATATGCCCGTTTTCTAAAATTTTCTTTTCAGAATTTCCATTTTTCAATTTCTTCATGATAAAGATCACGTGCGATCTGTGATCAAACAAAACTATTTCACATAGATGATAATGAAGCCTCAAATTCGTAAAACAGAGTCAAAGGTTTGAGCATACGTTGTTCGGCTGCTATAGACAAAGTAAATCCGAATTAATTTAACTCATTCGGTAGTGAGATTGAGTGCAACACAATCAAAAAGTGCAGATGTGACACCGGATTGGTTGAAATCATGGAGGACGGAGATACCAGCGTTTTGAGTTCTGCCCAAGATAACTGTCGAACGAAAAAAGGAAATATAATTAATTGAGGCTTTGAAATTCGATTAAGAAAACCAAAATGCACGTGGCAAGATGTAAGTGGTGAAATTACTACAAGATCTCTCTTTAGAACAGCACCGATGGCGAAAGCAAACCGCGGAGAAGAGAAGCGTCCACTGGCATGCCTGCCTCTCAATAACCCAACCACACGACGCGGCAAAAAAGGGATAAACCCCAATATTCTTCCTGTTCTACCCAATTCCCCGAATCATTTTTCTATGCTTTCCTTCTAATTTCTTCCTTTATCCTTTTGCTTTCCTCCTAATTACGCTATCTAATTTCATCGGACTTCGAGAATTTTGCGATGGTGAAATCCGCGGGGGAGCGGCAGGGATCTTCGGTGGCGCCTTTTCTGAAGAAATTGTACGAGATGGTCGACGATGAGGCAACCAATTCCATTATCTCGTGGAGTCCGAGGGATGATAGCTTTACGATTTTGGACATGACTCATTTCTCTGTCCACTTGCTTCCTAAGTACTTTAAGCACAGTAATTTCTCTAGCTTTATGCGGCAGCTTAACATCTATGTGAGTTTCTTGTTTGTTTTATTGTCGTTTTGAAATTTTCGATGCGATGTTTGTGTTCTGTTTTTTTTTTTTTTGGCCTTGCTGATTTTTCTTCTCTGGTATTCATTCTAATAGACTTGCGATATATCTTATCTTGTTTATGCAGTCGTCATTTGTTGTTCTTGAGTTCTGATTAAATGGGAAAGTTGCTCTGTCGTGGACTCAACTTCTTTCTAGTTGCCCTAATTGGTAATAACGCAATTGAGGATTATAGGTTTCACGAACTGGGAGGAGTTATATTCAAGATTGACTTGGAAAAGGCTTCGATGGGGACTTGATTGAAATTATGTTAGGTCGCTTAATTACTCTGTTTTGGCTAATGGTAAGCTCAGGGGAGAATTTTGCCTCACAGGGGGAACCTTAGCCCTTTCTTTTTCAACAACACGTTCTGTACTGTGTTATCAACAAAAACATTGCAAATCCTTTTTTTAGTAAATGCCAAATAACATATACTATTTATTAGAACCAGCTTGCTCAGGGCCTAATAAGAGGAGCTGCACCATACATCATGACGTAGTTACCAGCTTCCTCTTCTTCAAATTCGTTATCATCATATTCTTAATTCTTCATCAAAAGTATTAGTTGGAAGTTCAAGGGATTCCTTATTTCCATCTACTAGCGTAGGTTGCTTGTGGTTGTACTGTCATTAGGAGTTAGGACTAGCACGTGGGTGATGATGCTACTGGATTGAAGGGGCGTCCATGGAGGTTTTGAAGGTTGGCTATTGTCAAAAGGGGATTTGGGTGGAGTACCATTGGGCAGGAGTTTCGTATTGGGGTTTTTCCATTGTCATAAATGCTCAGCGAATTGTTTTGTCTTTGGCCACAGAAAGGGCATTGTGCGTTGGGTCATTAGGCAAGGTTTGTAGTCATTGAAAGAAGCTCATTTTCTAGGATGATTAAAATGATTCCTAAGGGATTCTTGCAGGGTTGCTAATGCAATGAACCACTTGGATAAAACCACTCTTCAACATACTATTTACTGTCTGATTATGTTCGGTATATCGTTGAGGGTATTTCAGAATTTTTTTATTCAAATTTTCTGGTAGAGGAAGAAACCTGGCTCTGAGTTGATGTTTCATCCTCAACTAGAAGTGTATGGGTTTTCCTTCCTTCATGAGTTCTATTCAGTTGAAATTGCTCACTAGGCTGCTGGTCCCCTCCACCCACAATTTCTGAGCAGCCATTTTAACTCTTTTTTTCTTTTAGTATGTTCGTATTCCCGTGCAATAATTTTCTACTGCATGTACATTCAAGAAAATCTTCTATGTGATGGTGGCCATCAAAACATGATAGATCATCCTTTTGCTTGTATTGATTGGTTGAACACTTGAGGAGAATTTTCTGAATCCCAAACTTGTTGCACTACCCATAGTATACATGTTTCAATTCTTCTTGTGTTTCTCTTAGGTGCTGGTTCATGGATGTGCCCCAAGGCTTGCCAGACAAAGACAAACTAATCAGAAGTTCTATTTTGGCATTTGCCATGCGAAATGAACTAATCGGGTTTTGTTAATCAGAAGTGAAGAATAATTATAAAACAAATTTGAATTAGGAGCCTGAAGAGAAAGCATTGAAGTTCGCCAAATCCTAACATTGCCACACGATCTATTTAACCCCACCAACGTATATGTGATTTTAGTATTTGGCATTCTGAAATAGGGATGAAGAGAGAAATGGCTCTATCTTGTCACTACTTGGACGCATGCCTCATGCAGCTCTTAGGTTTTCTGATAGTCATCGAAGACCAATTAAACAAGTGAATTTTTGTTCTTCTAAATTCATTCCCCCGAGCAGGTTGATCATTGAGTGGTTGGGGTTGGGGTTGGGGCGACGGAGAAATTTCACAAACATCTCACTTTTTATCCTACTTTAAATTATATTTCCTTCGTCTATTGCCTTTTCTCTTACCTCTTTCTGGTATATTCTCTACAAATACTTATCGACTCTTGATTAAGTCATAATGCAGTCTGCAGAAATAGACTCCAACTGTCATTTTCTTTCCTTGTTTATTTCTTCTCTCTTTTATTTATTTATTTGTTTATTTTTTAGAATGGGTGTTTTGTTCCTGATGCTATTATTCATTGAGAAATCTTTTCAGTCAAGCTAGTTAGTTGTGGTTCGTAATGCATGTTTTTACTTTTAGACCCTTGTGGAAAAGGGAAAAACTGTTCAACATAATGGCGAACTAGAGGAGAAACAACTACATTTTCTCCATTTAGTTTTGAATTGTCACATCTTAGTTATATAACAAATGGCGTCTTATATTTCAGGGTTTTCGGAAAATTGAGACAGATTGCTGGGAATTTGCAACTGATGGATTCGTTAAAGGACAAAAACATCTGTTGAAGAACATCTACCGAAGGAAAAACATTCAGGGCACAGATCAGCGTAAAGCGTCACAGCCCCAAGACAATTCTGAGGGACAAGGTGAACTACATGATTATACAGGGCTGTGGAAGGAAGTTGAGAATCTTAAAATAGATAAAAATGCTGTAATGCAGGAATTGGTTAAACTTAGGCAGCAGCAGGAAACTTCAGAGAACAAGATGCTCCTATTGAGAGACCGCCTTCAAGGTATGGAAAAGAATCAACAGCAGATGCTATCATTCTTAGTAATGGCAGTGCAAAGCCCTGGATTTTTGGTTCAGTTTCTTCAACCAAAAGAGAAGAATTGGCGCATGGCTGATGCTGGCAATATGTTAGAACAAATTCCAGATGATAATCAAGTACCTTCAAATGGTTTGATAGTCAGGTATCAACGTCCAATAGATGAACTGCCAGCACCTCTACTTCCACCAGTGTCGGGTCTGGGGAAACAACAAGAATCTGATCCATTCCCTGATGGAATGAAGGACTTTTTCCTTAATTCCGACTTCATGAAAGTACTTATGGATGAAAAGTTGGACAATCACAGCCAATTTGTTCTACCAGATGTACAGGATGTCGCATGGGAGCAGCTTCTTTTAGCGAGCACTGTTTCTTGTAATTCAGATAATGTTAGAAAAGTTGACGACGAACGGGAGCCTATGGACCATGAGGACCATGAACTGGATATGGAAACAATTGATACTCGAACTCATGAAGAGAATCTGCAAGATTTCGAACTTCTAATCAAACAAATGGAGAAAGGTGAAAATTTCGGGTTGCAACCAAGGTTGGATGAATCGTATATCGAGAAATCAAATACAGTTAATCTTATGGAACTTATGGCATCTGATCAAGAAATCCTATATGAAACACCGGCGAAGATGCAAGGCCATTAAAAGACTTATATGTTTTTTTTGGCGGATTTATGTTTCTTCATGGATTTAAAATCTCAAAGATCAGTATAAGTTTCTTTTGTCTTCACCATCCATACCAAGTAACCATTGGTTGGCTATGAAGTTATGGTGATAAGGCTGCTGCTGCTGCTATTTCAATGTCTTGAGCAGAGTATTGAATTTCAAACAGGTTTAGGAATTTCGGCCATCTTTTTGTTGGTGATAACCTCAAGGTAATGTTTTTGTTTCAACTTGCAAGCATTATATCTTGTGGGCATTGTTACAATTTTAATGCACACACAGTCTATATATATATATATATTATCAATTTTGAAGAAGTGGTTTCTCAACTGCTTCTTGCCTGCCTTTGCCATAAGTTTTTCTGTATAGCTTGGCAGACACTCCTCTTGTTATGATCACTAGATATTAAATTTATTTGATGTTCATTATCTCTTTTGCATGTTCGTGCTCATGTACACATATCTCACACGATATTTGTTCATTTTTCTTTATTCTTCGAATATTTGTAATGTTTTGATCACTTTTTAAATTAGTCTTTTTAAGTTATTAGTTAAAACTTTGGTTGAAAAATGAGAAATACAGATGCTAAAAAATTTTCGTCGATTCATAATGAAGGTGGTTTTGTTCATGTATTCAAATATGAAGCTTTCAACACTAAAAGATCATATCTATAAGATCATATCTATATTTTTGTAGATTATAGCAACTAGATCCTTAGAAAATTAGAAAATGAAATATGCAATCCAAAATGTTGCTAAAAAAATGTACATCACTGACTACCGTGACCGTATGAAAAATTAAAAAAAAAAAACATTACCTCACAAATTACTAATTTAATAAATTTATATCTAACCAGACTCTAAACTTTAAATTATTTTGTTTAGATCTTATGATCAAAATATTGAACTGAGAAATGCTTCCCTCACAAAAAGTCGGACCTTTGAGTTCTCGTGCAGATCCTCCACAATTTTTTAGTATTAAAAGAAATATACAATTTTCTTTAGAAAATTCACCAAAAAGGATGAAACTCGAGTTTTAAATAAATGAATTGGAGTAAATGGATGCTTCTAACTTTCTCTCCATAATTGAAGGCCGATGTCCATTTCACATATCCCCTCTCTTCTAACATAAAATGAGAGAGGATTCATCTTATTGTTAATAGGAATTTACAACTACGAAGCAGCAAAAACTAGGAACTGCGCACGTCCGTCTAACCTCTGCTCTTCATTATACAGGTTCGTATACACGATCCTCTAATCTAAGGAGAATGCTCCATTGCAGTACCTGTAGAGCCCAAATACTAAATAATTTCTCAGTTTGTAGGAAAAGAATCTCTCTCTAAGTAAACTTTTATGTAACTACTCCCTTTGCAATATTTTGGCCCCGCTCGTTTGCCTTTGGGGTGGCTCCAGTATTTTCCTCCATCTATAACATATTCCATTTCTCTTAATAAAATAAGGGCCCTTTCATCATCCGTCAATCAATAGAAAATGACTTCAATTATTCTCATGACTCAATTGTCTTATTCTACATTCCTTGACTCGATTGTCTTATTCTACATTCCTAATACATTTGGTTGTTAAGGTAACTCGTAATATTAAACCCCAGGTAGGTAACCAAACCCATCTCCTCTAACTTCTTTATTGTTTACATGTCCTTTTTAACCCGAATATAAATCCATGGTAGTTGACTACTAGTATCATTCATCACACATAATGTCATGTATTTTAGGCATCCACGCTGAAAATTAAAATTAAAATCAAACATAAAACAATACCTGTTGCTGAATTTCTCCACCATATCAGAGGCATAGAGTACAGTTTCGTTGGCTTTCTCCAGAACCATATAAAGCTCTTTCCTTCTTGTGATTCGAGAAATAACCCATGCATTGTTTTTTGCTCTAATAGTTACTTCCACCTCCTTTTCCTCACCAACACCATCCTGTTTTGCTCGACTCTTCTCCAGATCAATCTTTTCTCTGAGTTTGCTCATGGCAAGTAAAGATTCCTTTGTGAGGGTGGTAACTTTTCCTGGAGGTGAAGCCCTGGATATTTGTCTATCACCATCTATCAGTAAATAACGATACCCACCAACATGATAAGCATTTTCCCCACCCCAGCCTTTTGACAATTTTTCTTCAACTGTCATGATCTTCAGGTAAGCCTGGAAGATAGCAAGAAATGCATCCAATGAGTGGAAGGAATTCAAACAGATGATTCATAAATCAGTTTAAATAGATATTAAAAATTAGCAAGAGTAGTCAAATAGAATATTAAGGCAATGTTACCTATCACGATGCTGACTACGTTTTTACATTTATTTTGGTAAATTTTATTCTTCTAAGTTTCCTTAACTTGGTTTAGACTCCATTAAAAGACAAAAACGAGATGATAATTGAGAATCAATAAATATTGGAACCCTATATTTTCTCCCTGTGCTCCTCTCTTCCTCTAAACTCTATTCATTGTCCAATTTTTTACATTCTTCTCCCAATGTAAATAAATGATATTTCCTCTCTTCTCTTGTCCTCGTACTGTTCTAATTCTTCCCTTTCAATCTGTCCAACACGTATTGCTTTGGCATAAATCACCATTTCACAAGCAATAACTATATCAACATAGGGAGAGAATTCATTAAGAAAAGAAAATGGTAGCAAGATAATAAAATCAATTAAAAGAGATGAGAAACTAACATTTTCAAGAAAATACTGCCTGATGATTGAAATGCCTTGTTCCCCATTAGGTATTGATGAAGCAGGAACAAGAAGAATCAGAGTCAGGCTTTTATGCTGATGTACATACAAGTACATTTGCTTCTCTGTTTGAAAAGGCCAGATTTTTGGGGTAGAATTGACCCGGCCACTTGCCTCCATACCCCAAATATCAGTTTCTAGAAAACCATCCTTTCCTTTTGACCATTTTCCATGCTGCAAGGGTCGTATGACACGATTACCAACATTTCCTCCATGTTGGGTGACATGAGAAACAGTATTTCCTCTAATTAAATAGGACCAAGAACTTGCGCTAGAAGATAAGACACTTGGAGTTAACCTCAGAACAGCATATGAAAATAAATTTGTAGTATCCTCCTGAAAAAGAGGTTGAAATGAACAGCTTTAAAATTTTGAATGATCTATATTATATTTCAAAATAAAATTCAGTTATGGATACGTATTAGGTTTTTAGCATCCCCAAGTGATTCAACTTTTATAATATGAAAATTGAATAGTACAATAAGTTATGATGAACATTAAATACTTGGAGATCAAACCATACAGGTGAAAGCGATGTAGACACCAGTAAGTCCTGAAATAAAATCAGAGAGTGGCACAACGCGTTTCCAATGCAAGAATCAAGTGTTCTAACAAGTGCCTGCACAAAATAAGTATATAATGCAATTAACTCCAATGAACGAAAATAAAAATGTCAACAAAGCTCCGACTCTAAGCTACTTTCTTTTTTCCTGATGAATCAGGGTAGCATGGAAACCAAATTGTTTCTCCATAACGTTAAGTTTGACAGTTCTTAAAATTCAAATTCATTGTCAACAATTCATATTTAGATTTAAAGACAGATTGATATCAAGACTTAAAGCTCTACAACTCTTACTGAAATAGCATAAAAAGATCCCAAAAGTAACCCAAGGAAAAGGCACAATGTAGATGTCTCGGAGGGATTAAAACAGATTGATCTAAAGCCTTAAAGCTCTACGACTCAAAGTGAAATAATTGGACTTTTGAAGACGAGGTGGTTTTGGAGGGATTTTCTGTAACAATGTACCACATATATTATCTCATTGGTGTTCCAACCGCAAGAATTTTTTTTTTTAACAACCTCCTAAAGATTATTAATGACTGGGAGACTCTGCTCTTGTTTCTTCCTCCTGAGTATTAATATGCATTCTCTCTGTTTCTTGTTAGTGAAAAAATAGTGAATCAGTATATTCTTTGTTTCTTAATAAAAAGAGAAAATAGGGGGGAGGGGAATAAAAATAATAATAATTAAGTGCATGACACGCATACAAGTACTTAAAGTTCTTTACAAGGACAAACCTGAACTTCAATGGCAGCATCCCGCCCTATGGTCAGCATATGTACAGTTCCACGTTCCTTTAAACAGTCAACAAATGATGGCAACTGCAATTTCTTACCAACAAGAAAATCTGCATCGAAAGAGAAGCAAGAGTTAGGCATGAGATACAGTAACTTCAATCTCAATCTGACATTCAGCAATTTCAATATTACCACAGCAGCACCTATCCAATGCAGACCGCTTTTGACATGCTGACAATTAGTAACTTATAATGCAATGTTTTGAAACAACGGTAACATATACTTGACTTCATGAAAAGGTAATTTAGATGAAAAGTGGCTGTAAATGACTTACCACTCAAATAATCCATGATGAAGGAATACAAATGTGATCTGGAAACTTCTCCAGAGGGTTGTTTCTCAAGTAATAACCTTATAGGACCGTGAAACATTAGAAAAAGAGAGTGAATTTCCTTCAGAAGCTTCTGCAATGCATCCATCCGCCAAGTTGCTTGTACCTCCTTGTTTTTCTCCACTACCTACCCCAGCATAGATAACTCGTTAGAAAGACGGAGAAAATAAAACTTGAGAATGTTTTTTTTTAGAGAACTACCAAGCATGACTGGAAACAGTGCAAAGGTCAGTTGCAACTACATTCATGGTTGAAATAAAAGAGACCAAAGAAAAAGGGTAAGGTACTTTTTTTTTTCTCAAAAAGAAACTTGATAAGTGGTAAGCCTTTAATTCTACCATATTGAACTTCCTTTAACCCTAAGAAGCCTAGAGTAAAATGTGAACGTTTCATTTGAATATATGTCAAAACAAACAGAGATGTCACCATAAATAATCAAGAAGTATTATAAACAAAACTCTAATGCCACAAGGCTGAAAGTAAATCTGAATTCTATGATAAAACACTGGTTATTTTGTAAAAACGAGGACATTTAACAAGTAATATTAGAAGTAAAGAAGGGAGGAAAAAAAACCAAAATAAAGTAGTCGACGATTTGAAGTAATGTGTAAAGAAATTATTGAACCAGATCAAAATATTTCCATCGAAATTTGCATGGATAATAAACATAAAATATGAGACCATATGAATGCGATCCCCAAACAAAATAATACTACTACCATTTACTGATACACGATTTCAAACAAAACTGTACCAAAACCATCCATATATATATGGCTCCGCCTCAAAAAATACATGAGAGTGCTTCTCTGCTTCAATGACCTCACAAGCTGCCTCTGGGGAGAATGTTCTGCATTAAGTTTTCATTTTTCATTTAGCTACCAACAACAAACAAGAAAATGTAAATATATTGAAGGAATCTTTGAACATAACTTAATTCGACTAGGTTTTACTTTGCTATCTCATTAAAACTACAATAGAAGCAGGCCTGAGTAACTCTCTAAATATTTTACTAAAGATCGTAACTGGAGGAGTGCACAAGGACCTTGTTTGGTGAAGGATTATTTTCAACCCAAAAGAAAAATATGCATGCATAATAGTTTCATTCGTCTTTCATACATATTTACAACAGACATGTACAGATAAAATTGAAAATAACAAAATTAAAAAGTTACAAAAATGTGACAGATTAACAATATAAACAAAGCAAGAAGTTTTATTAGAGAAAATTTTTATTCGATTATTTCACAACCAGTTCCCGATGTTCAATGAGCAATTTCTGTCGTTCTTATTTCTTATATCTACTCTTCAAATGTTTCTGCACGGTGGTTACCGATTGAAAAAAGGGGGAAAAAATTATACTGACCTTGTAAATGTGACAAGTCCTTCACTGAGCCCAATAATATACAATTGTTTGGTAAAGGGTAAATCGGCTGGATAGAAAAACAATATCTTATCCAGCTCTTGACCCTCCTGTTGTCCTCTCCTTGAATCAAATACGCAGAGTTTAATGGCCTCGGAAACGGCAGTAGTAGCAGTTGACAGGCCCATTATTTACTTTTCAAGTCAACAACCATCAGAAAGGAGAAAAATACCAATTAGTGATTCTTGCGAAAAGACCTCAATTTAGCTGAATTTCCCTAAAATAGGCATAAATCAGAGCCCAACACCACTAAACTTAAATTCAACGAAGTTGTCGGAGGAGAAGGCGTACCTCTACAGAAAGATCAACTGAAGCAGAGCCTCAACAAAACCCTAAACGCGAATGATCGTTGCACATGCCGGTGATTGGAGATTCGAGCATTGGTGCATTGGGAGAAAAGAGCCGCGTGTCTCAAATATGAACTCGTTTGAGCCCTAACGGACGACAGTTCCATGAATCGAAGCCAGACAGCAGAACCAAATCCAAGGTTTGGCGGAACTTCCAGAAACCACGCGCGGGAAAGAAACGAAAACGTAGCACTCTTGCATGTACTGAAAAAAAAATTAAGGAAACGTCCATCAAAATATTTAAAAAATAAAAAGTTCCGAAAAGATATTTAAATTAATAAATAAATATTTCATACTTTTTAATTGAATTAAAATATTGATAAAAATGTTAACATGTCAAAATAAATTTAATTCAATGAAAACATAATTTTTTAATTTAAAAGTCTCTAAACTAAACATTAACAAATAAATTAATATGTTATATTTTTATTTAAAGGACACCTTCGGATCTTATTTACCTTTATGGATAAACGTCTGTTTTCTAAAGTCTTTATATATATATATATATATATATATATATATATATAATATGGGGTAAAAATATAAATACATTAAAAGATATAAATTAAAAAATTAAAAAAAGTAAAGAAAAATCAAATGGTAGAATATTTACCTTCATAGGTTTAAACACTTTTTTTTATTATTGTTTTTTGACCCATAAATAATAAGTTATTGCACGTTTGTACTATAATGTCTTTTTTTCTTTTTTAGAGGGGAGGAGGTGGGGAAAAGGATGTCCCAACAATTTTCCACGTCATTTTGTTCTCTTTTTCTAATTACTTTACGTATAAAAAATTAAGAAAAAGAGAGAGAAAAATGATTTTTTTTTTTTCTACAGATATTTTAGAAAAACATACCAAATATTTTAGAAAAAATATTTAGATATTTTAGAAATAGATAGTTTAGACTCTCTAAATACCTCCACCTTAATTATATTTTTAGCTAATTATATTTTTATTTTAAAAAATACGAAGTAAAATACAGAGTTTTATAATCTTCTATTAATTTGTGTTAATAGAGAATGCCAGTGTTTCCCCAAAAGAATTGTGTTCCAACCTTCTATAAATAAATAAATAAATAAAATTAAAAAAAAAGTGGAAGAATTGCACTCAAGAGAGAATGTTTTTATTACTTGTTAATTGTTAATACAACAGTTAAGAGGCACGGTTTTTAGAGTGGTGGAGAAAAGGATGACTTGGTAAATGAAAGTCTTTCTTTATTCTGAAGGTAAGGGCCCGGCAATTGTGGAATCATTTGCCTTCGTTTCTGCATCTTCTTTTTCTACGTTCACCCACTGCGTTGTTTTGCAGATAGTACTACATCTTCTGAACTGGGTGTTGCTCTTTCTATCAAAATTCTGCTTTCTTTTTACCTAATCGTTCTTCCCACTGTTGACATGGGTTATTGATCTGTTCTTGCTTTGGTAAGCTAATCCTCTTTCTTTTTGCTTTTCTTCATCTGGGTTCTTTCTGATCCTTGTTTTCTTCTATTTTTTTCCCTCTCCGTACTGTCTCTGTGATTGTACTATGTAGCTCCATCTTGTCCCTTCGCTGATTCTTACTGTTTCTGGGTTGTTTATGATCTATGGCTGTTCCTTGTCTTCCATGTTTAGCTATCATTTCGTGTTTGATTTCTGAAGAAACAGAGTTTTGATTTAATGCGTTCAAGCAGAACATGTGAGGAAAATGGAAATGATAAGACCCATTTCTTTTCAAAGCTTTGTGGGAGGCAATATCTTTGAGAAACTCTCCTTAGTTTCATGAGTTAAAGCTTTCTTTTCATAGAATCCTGATACTTTTTTACACTTATTCTCAGTTTTTCTTCATATCATAGAACTTTTGAGGACTAGATTGAGCTTAAAATCTCACATGAGCATGAATTGGTGCTTGGCCCTGCATAAACTACCATTGTTATGCATTCATGCTCCTCCCCAAATGAGTATGCATTACAATCAATTTGTTTGGGATTACAGGAAAAAGTTTGCTGTTGATCTCATTGGATTGAATGGGTAAAACAATTCAGCTTTATGGATTCCCTTCTGGTGTATTACAAGAATCGGTTAAGGCGTTTGTAGAGAGATTTACAGGCGAAGGAAGTATAGATGCCATAAATGTAAAACGTTCAAGGGGAAGAGGAAAGCGATTGTATGCAATCATCCAGTTTATTGACGATGTAGGTGCTAAGTTAATTATATCTTTGGCTAATGCAAGCCTCCGCTATGGAACTTCTTATCTGAAGGCAAGGGAGTGGAAGCAGGATATTCTACAAGATCCACTAGTCTTTGAATACAATTTCAAAGGCTTAGAACTCCATCTTGGTTGTCAGATATCAAGGGAGGAATTTTTTGTGTTATGGAGAGAGTCAAATGTGTCTGTGAATTTCGAGTTTGAGCGGCGTGATCTTAAGTTTTTCATATCCCATCCTCGTGTTGACTACATGCTCGTATTGCGATATGAGAACATTTGGCAAGTTGAGCTACACAAGCCACAAGGACAATCTATAGATTATCTTCTGATTCAGGTTCATCCATAAACTTTGAACAATGTTTTCTTTTTCTTCACTATGGGTAGATATCATGCATTCATACGAGCACATTTGACCGAAAATTTTCACTCAAATGATGCCTGTACTATTCTTGATTAGGGGTGTGAGATCCCACATCAATTGGAGAGGGGAATGAAGCATTCCTTATAAGGGTGTGGAAACCTCTCCCTAGCATATGCATTTTAAAACCGTGAGATTGACGATGATGAGTAACTGCTAGTAGTGGATTTGGGTGGTTACAAATGGTATCAGAGTCAGACACCGGCGGTGTGCCAGCGAGGATGCTGGCCTCCCAAGGGGGGTGGATTGTGAGATCTCACATCAGATGGAGAGGGGAACGAATCATTCCTTATAAGGGTGTGAAACCTCTCCCTAGTAGACGCGTTTTAAAACCGTGTGGCTAACGGCAATACGTAATAGGCTAAAGTGGATAATATCTGCTAGCGGTGGACTTGGGCTGTTAGGCTGTTACATAAGATGGCAAGAGCAAAAATTGAACTTAGCTGTAGATAGAGTAATGCTTAGCTTCATTAAGTTTTTGGGACCTTTGGCCCTCGCCTGCATTCACGTCATATAGGTGCTGTCAGGACATGCTTTCTTTACCCATTTTCATTTAATTTTGCATACTATTCTAACTATGACCTCTCTGTATTGGTAGTTAGTTGGTGCTCCGCGGATTTATGAGAGAGATACAAAGCTTTTTGGACATATTTCTGAAGACCCCTTCTTGAGCTTTTCTAAGGAAATGGACACCAAATGGTTTCGAGCAACCGATTTCACTCCATCATGCTGTATTGGACAATCTGGAGCTTTATGCTTGGAGATTCCTTACGGTCGCCTGCTCCCTAATTTTCACGATAAATTTGCTTACTTCAACGAAATAAAGGGTAAATTTACACTGGCCAGCGGCTCTACTTATTCGTCCAATGTAAACTTGGTACCTGTAGTTAGACCTCCTCTGAGCATCCACTTGCCATATGCCATTTTGTTTAAGATAAACTTGTTGGTACAACAGGGGTGTCTTCCAGGCCCATCTCTTGATATCAGTTTCTATGAGATGGTTGATCCTCAGATACACAATATTGCCTTCATAGATCGTGCTTTAAGGAAACTTTATGACTTGAAAGAGTGTTGCTATAACCCTTCAAAATGGTTAGGTGAGGAGTACAGGAAGTACTCCAAGTTAACGAATCCGCCCCAGCCACCTAACTTGTCCTTAGATGAAGGGTTAGTCTATGTACACAGGGTTCAAGTGACACCTTGTAGAGTGTACTTTTGTGGTCCAGAGGTTAATGTTTCAAATCGTGTATTGCGTCGTTATCCCGAATATCTTGACAACTTTTTGCGTGTTTCGTTTGTCGACGAGGAATTGGATAAACTGTATTCAACTGAATTGTCTCCACGAGAATCTTCTTCCTTGGAGGATGGAAAGACGAAAATATTTAAAAGAATCCTTTCAGTTCTGAAAGATGGCATTACCATTGGTGATAAGAAGTTCGAGTTTCTTGCGTATTCTTCGAGTCAATTACGGGAAAATGCCGTGTGGATGTTTGCTCCAAGAGATGGGATTACTGCAGCTAAAATAAGGAAATGGATGGGAGATTTTCATAGTATAAGAAATGTAGCCAAGTATGCTGCTCGACTAGGCCAATCCTTTGGTTCATCCACAGAAACAGCAAGTGTCAGTCGACGCGAAGTCAAGGTTATTCCTGATATCGAGGTCAAATCAGATGCTGGTATCAATTATGTCTTCTCTGATGGGATTGGGAAAATATCAGCTAGTTTTGCTAGAGAAGTGGCTAGAAAATGCCACATCAGGCATACACCATCTGCTTTTCAGATTCGTTATGCTGGTTTTAAAGGTGTTATTTCGGTCGATCCAACCTCATTCGTAAAATTATCGCTCAGGAACAGCATGCTAAAGTATGAGTCGACCGACACGAAGCTCGATGTCTTATCTTGGAGTAGATATCATCCGTGTTATCTTAATCGTCAGTTGATTACTCTTTTGTCTACACTTGGAGTTCAGGATGATATCTTTGAGAGTAAACAAAAGGAATTGATAGATCAATTGGACACCATTTTTATGGATCCATTGAAGGCTCAGCAGGCCCTTGAGCTAATGTCTCCAGGTGAGAATACCAACATTCTGAAGGAAATAATCTCGTGCGGTTACCGACCTGATTCCGAACCTTTCTTATATATGATGTTGCATACGTTCCGAGAATCGAAGTTGTTAGAATTGCGGAGAAAATCTAGAATCTTTATCCCAAATGGAAGAGCAATGATGGGATGTCTTGATGAAACTGGAAACTTAGAATATGGAGAGGTATTTGTGCAGTGTTCTGCTCACCAGCAGCTGCATAATGATCATATTATCTTTAAAAGAAGCAAATCAAATCAACATTTCATCGTAACAGGAACGGTAGTCGTGGCGAAGAACCCGTGCTTGCACCCAGGTGACGTGCGTGTCTTAACCGCTGTGGATGTACCATCTCTACATCACATGGTAGATTGTCTGGTTTTTCCACAGAAGGGACCAAGGTAAATGATCTAATCTTGTTTATGCTTAAACTCATGTCTGCTAGTAATTCTGCTGATATTGGAAACTTTCTTTTCTGTACAAGACCTCATCCGAATGAATGCTCGGGAAGCGATCTCGATGGCGATATATACTTCGTGTGCTGGGATCCTGATTTGATTCCACCTCAACAAGTTGAACCAATGGATTATACCCCCGTGCCTAGCAGATTACTAGATCATGATGTCACAATGGAGGAAGTTCAAGAGTATTTTGCAAATTATATGGTCAATGACAGTCTAGGAATCATTGCCAATGCTCATACAGCATTTGCAGATAGTAGGCCAGAGAAAGCAATGAGCGAACCTTGTATAAAGCTTGCAAAACTGTTCTCAATTGCAGTGGACTTCCCCAAAACTGGCGTTCCTGCTTTGATATCTGCTGATCTAAGAGTACAAGTATATCCTGATTTCATGGACAAACCCGACAAACAGAGCTACAAGTCACATAATGTACTGGGGAAGCTGTTCAGAATGTTGGATGACATTGAACCAAGGATTAGCATCAAGTCCGTGAAGTTTACTCGGGAGATAGCTCGGCAAGCTTATGACCCCGACATGGAAGTCAAAGGCTTCGAGGAGTACCTCGACGATGCGCTTTATCACAAGAACAATTACGACATGAGGTTGGGGAATTTGATGAAATATTATAAGATCAAAACTGAGGCAGAGCTAATCAGTGGGGTTAGTTTGACAAAATCATCTTCTTTTACTAAGAAAAATGAAGCGGAATCTATCATCATGGCTGTGAAGTCCCTGCGAAAGGAGGCGAGGGGGTGGTTCAATGAGAATGCTGGCTTGCATTTTGGACATGACAATAATGCGTATGCTAGAGCTTCAGCATGGTATTTTGTTACATATCATTACAGCTACTGGGGCTGGTATGGGGAGAAGAATGAAAGCCATTTTCTCAGCTTTCCATGGTGTGTTTACGACAAGCTCATCCGTATCAAGAAGCGCAAGATTGGTGCTCGAGCTCGCCATCGGTAAGCTTCTCGTACCGTGAATCTTCATATATTTCACTTGAGTTATGAACAACAATCAACTTGGCATAGTTGTGGCAGACACCTTATTTTTTACTAATCACTTTTAGTCTTCTTGCAACTCTTCCATCCAATGTTTTACTTCAATAACTTTACGAACGCACCAAAGAACACACCGAAGGACAGAATATTGACTCTCTTTGATTATGTGGAAGTGTGCGCGAAGCTAGCTTGAACACTCACGTACAAGATTTGACATAGTTAGTAATATCAACTCAGATATTATATACACGAGCTTCGTTATCAATCATGTTATAACGTTAATACTAAAGCATTGGACTTGATACCTACTAATGGCCAAGCAGCTATGAATGTGAAGAAGGAGAGTTGTAGAAACTAGCTTAATGGAAGATCAATGAACTTTGTTTCAGTTAAAGATCAAGCTAAATTATGTATAAAGATCAATGAACGTTGTGTCGAGTCCCAAATCGTCAAATCACGTAGAAGTTAAATTTGTATCCGATGGTCATTAGAAGGCATGTAGATTTTCGAATTCAACGATTACTTACAGGCAAGTACATTGTGACCTCATTGGAAAAAAAACGATCATCATTATAGTACTGATCACTCGAAGAAAAATTTATGCTTCTTTCTTGCGTCGGACCATGAGATAAACAAGTCATACGTATACCTGCAACAGGACGGGGCGAGCTTGTGTTTGAGAAAAGTAGGCTAAGATTTCAGATTTCATGAACATTGGCCAATGTATAGAGTAGATATTACATAGTAAAGAAAAAGGTGACTATTCAAACTAAGAAGCTCTCAAAAGAGTAGCAAACAAGAGCCAAAGCCAAAGCCAAGTATATTAAAAAAACTACAGATAAAGACCATCAGATATATCAGAGGGAGGTAGAACAGGAAACCAACCGGTGTCGATCGTGTTCTTCAACGTCCATCGAGATTTAAGACACGGCTGAATCTATCAAGAGTCGCCAATCTTGAAGCTTTCTCTCTTCTCCTCAAATTATTCTCCTTGACTTGCATCAGTTTGTGGTAAACACACCATGGGAAGCTCAAATAATGGTCGCGTTTCATTCCGTCGTTATAGGAGCCCCAATACGAATGATGATAAGTGACATGGTACCACGCCGAAGCTTTGGCAAATAAATCATCCGAGCCCGAATCTGGACCGCTTTCTTTCGTATTGAACCATGTCCTAGCCTCCTTTCTTAGAGACCTTGCAGCCAAGTTGATGGCTTCTGCGTCTCTTCTCCTCGTGAAAGACTTCGACATTCTCATAATATTGCCACTAAATATCTCGGACTCGGACTTGATCCCGTAATAATCAAGCAAATTCCCCAACTTGTAATCATATATAGTTTTATGATAGATGGCATCTTCAACGTAATCTTCAAAGCCTTCAGTTTCCATATCGGAGTCGTAACACCGCATTGCTACATCTCGAGTAAACGACCTAATGTAGCTTATATTTGGTGCAATGCCCTTTACTGCCCGGAAAAGTTTTCCGATCACGTTCTTTGATTCATACGAGGGCCTGTCGGGCTTCTCCATAAAGTCGGGAAACTCTTTGACATTCAAATGTGAAGGTATTATAGCAGGTACTCCAGTTTTTGGGAAGTCCACAGCAATGGAGAATAGCTTTGCAAGCTCTATACAAGGAGCACTTCTTGCTTTAAAGGGCTCTTTATCTGCAAACGCAGTGTGAGCATTGGCAATGATTCCAAGGCTGTCATTAACCATGTAGTTCACAAAATACTCTTGAACATCCTGTTGTAAAGAACAGTACCTTCAAATTAGTACTAAAACCACACATAGGAACGGTTCCTCTTCTAGAAATTGAGATAAAACGCTAAAAAAACGACACGTTTGAAGAACGAAACATGATCAAGAGTCAGTGCTTGTGTGGAGATACCTCGATTGTGACATCACGATCTAACTGAATAGGAGGTGCAGGAGTATAATCCATCGGCGGAATTTGTCGAGGCGGGATCAATTCAGTGTCCCAACAGACGAAGTATATATCACCGTCCAAATCGCTACCCGAGCATTCGTTTGGATGAGGCCTATATTAAAAGTACAGCATCTAGTTAATCTTCAAAACAAAATCAAGAAAGAATCAGCATATGTCAATGTACTAACCTTGATCCTTTTTGTGGAAAAACAACACAGTCAACCATATGATACAACAGAGGTACATTTACAGCGTTTAGCACACGAACATCGCCGGGGTGCAGGCAGGGATTTTTCGCAACAGTTACGTTTCCCACGATAACTAAATGGTCTTCCGAACCGCTCATATCGAATGCAGAAGTATCAGATATATGTCTATGCCTAACACTGGAGATTTGTACAAATACCTGTCCATACTCCAAGGTCCCAGTCTCGTCTAGACATCCCATCATCGCTCGCCCATTCGGAATAAAGATTCTCGATTTGGTTCGTAATTCTAGCAACTTCGACTCCCGGAAAGTCTGTAACATCATTGATAGATAAGGCTCAACATCTGGTTTATAGCCACATTTGAGCATCTCCTTGAGAATGTTAGTATTCTCTCCAGGAGACATCAACTCCAAGGCTTCTTGAGCCTTCAGTGGATCTGTTAAAATGGCATCCAATTGTTCTAAAGCTTCACTTTGTTTCTTCTCAAAAACCTCATCTTTAACGCCTAGAGTCGACAAAAGAGTTATCAGCTGACGATTCAGGAAGCATGGTTGGTATTTGCTATAGCCTAAGACGTCGAGTTTCGTGTTGTCTGATTCAAATTTGCACATACTCTTCCTCAGAGATAACTTTACAGACGAGCGCGGATCAACAGCAACGACACCCTTATATCCACCATAACGAATCTGAAAAGCAGACGGAGTGAACGCTAGCACGCATTTTGAAGCAACCCTTTTGGCAAAATCACTTGATATTTTGCCAATTCCATCAGAAAAGACATACTTGACTTCACCATGTTGAACCTCTATGTCAGGAATGATTTCCCTTTCATGTCTAGCAACCGAAAGAGTCTCCGTCGATGAGCCGAACGATTGTCCCAATCTAGCAGCGTACTTTGCTGGATTCTTGATATGTCGAAAATCACCCATCCACTCTCTAATAACAGCTGCATCAAGGCCAGGTCTGGAAGCAAACATCCACAAAGAATTCTCTCTTAGTTGACTTGATGAGAATGCAAGAAACTTAAACTTCTTATCACCAATGGCTATGCCATTTTTAAGAACAGAGAGGATTCTCCTGTAGATATCAGTTTTACCATTCTCGATCGAAGAAGCCATCCGTGGCAATAAATCCGTCGAACGCATTTTATCCCACTCCTCATCAACAAAAGACACACGAAGAAAGTTATCTAAATCTCGAGAAAAATGGCGCAACACCCGGTTCGAAACATTGACTTCAGGACCACAGAAGTACACCTTACAAGGTGTTATTTGAACCCTACGGACATACACCAATCCATCATCCAAGGCTATAGCAGGAGAATTTGAAGGATGCTTTGCATACTTTTTGTACTGTTCAGTAAGAAAGCTTGATGGCTCATAGCAGCATTCCTTCAAATGGAACAGTTTTTCTAATGCATTTTCTACATACTCAACTCTTATTCGACTCGGATCAACCAACCGATAGAAACCCGTATCGAGTGATGGCCCTGCAATGCAACCATTTTGAACCAATACATTTACTTTAAAGATTATTTCATATGGCAGAAGAACATTAGGACGAGAATCGACCACGGGAACAAGATCGTCGGAGCAAGAAAAACTGTTGCCTCCATCCACCAGTTTGAATTCATCTTCGAATTCTTCATAATAAGCAAAATGTCGCCTAAAGTTGGGAAGTTGACGGCCATTAGGTAGCTTCAAACATAAAGAAGAAGATTGTCCAACAGAGTTTGATGGAGTAAAATCAGCTGTTCTAACCCATTGATCATCAGGTACTTCTTTAAAGAAGTTAAAAAGAGGATCATCAAAGATTTGTCCACTAGAGGGTGCAACTTTTTTATATATCCGAGGAGCTCCATATAACTGATGAGATAAACATAACAATTATCATTTTGAACTGAATCAAAATCCAGCAGCAGATACTGTAAATGAAGAACACCAGCATCTAAGATCATGGTAATAATCACGGCAGAAACCAAAAATCTCTACTAGATATTAGTAACAGTCAAGACAGAATCCACTACATTCAACAGTCAAAATGACAAAATTACAGACCTATAAAGTTCAAGGTCAACCATAACAAAAGCAGTGTTGTTAGTATCAACATTTAGTAAGAAATATGGCCATGGAAGTCATCGTTAGTTTCTTCCATGCTCTTTTTTTTGGGGTATATTAAGAACTATCTCCACGTTTTTCGAGGAGAAAGTTGTAACAGCCCAAACCCACCGCTAGTCTTTTTTGGGTTTTCCCTTTCGGGCTTCCCCTCAAGGTTTTTAAAACGCGTATATTAGAGAGAGATCTCTACACCTTTACAAAGAATGCTTCGTTTTTCTCCCCAACCAATGTGGATCTCACAATCCACCCCCATTCGGGGCCCAGCGTCCTTGTTGGCACTCGTTCCCTTCTCCAATCGATGTGAGACCCTTCAATCCACCCACTTTAGGGCCCAGCTTCCTTATTGGCACACCGCCTCGTGTCCACCCCACTTCGGAACTTAGCCTCCTCGCTGGCACATCGCCCGATGTCTGGCTCCGATACCATTTGTAACAGCCCAAGCCCACCTCTAGCAAATATTGTCCTCTTTGGGTTTTCCCCTTCCCTCAAGGTTTTTAAAACGCGTCTACTAGGGAGAGGTTTCCACACACTTATAAAGAATGTTTCGTTCTCCTCCTCAAGTGGAATCTCACAATTACTCTTATTCAAGCCACTTTTAAGAGAGAATAGCAATACTTTTCAACAAGGATATAATTGAAACAATGCTTAAACATGGAAGGCAAAAATTTTAAAGTTTAAAAGGGATAACAATGCTTTTCAACATTAACACGAGACAAGAACCTGAATCAGAAGACATTTCATAGACTGATGTTGCAGACGGTGGAGTTGTATCTGCCAAATGTTCTCATAGGAAAGCTGAAACCTGTACTCAACGAAATTATGAATCAAATGAAAGTTCATTTTTCGCATTTCAACTCCAAAAGTCACCAACTCAACATCTCCTTCCCATAGAACATGAAACTTTTCACTGGAGACCTGACAACCAAAGCACAATGTCAAGTCTTCCAAGGTATGCACATATGTCCTAGGCTTCGGTACAATATCGACATCAGCCGCTCGAGCCTTAAGATACGAAGATCCATACCATAGGCGTTGATTAGCTAAGGAAATGATCAACTCAGCTTGTGCAGCACCAATGAATTGGACAATAGCATATACTCTACTTCCTCCCCTTTTAGGTGGTCTAACCTTAATGGCATAGACAGTTCCTAAACCTGTACGAAGCTCCAGAAAACTCTTCACGGAATCTGCCGTGGCATGTGAAGGAAATCCACTAATATGAACCGTTTTCCCCATAAGATCAAACAAATTGTTCACTCTTTCCCTGTTTTACCAAATCAAGCTATAGATTAGAAAAGGCTTCCCTTCTATGTTCTATGATTGTGTTATGATTCCATTGTGAAGGGAGAATTCCACTTGAAATGAAAATTTCTTAGCCATGAAGTAGTCCCTACCAAAGTAAAAACGTCTTACATTAAATGGAATGAAAAAAGAAAAGTAACCCAAAATACAGAGACATACAGACACCAAGAAAAACATTTTGAATGCTGGAGTTTTCAACTTGGGTGCTCAAAGAAACCAAACCCCAACTAAAAAAGGTTCAAAAGAGGCAAGAAAATGAGCAGAGCAACAGGACTTGATGATGAAGAACAGAGTTACAAACCCACACAGATAAACGCATGAATGTCCTCAAACAGGTATATATGGATCAACCAAACCGTAAGCCAGAGACGATCCAGGAGCAGCAGAAACACACTCCAAGAGCTTCGAATTGCTAAAAGGGTGTTTGTGGATGAACCCAGAAAAGCAAAGAAGATCATAAAACAGAGTGAAGAACAGAAACTGAGGAGGCAAGAGCAAGCTCAGTGACTTATAAATTACAAGAAGAGGGTCCAATGGAGGGGAAGAATTTGGATAGACAACGAATTGAAGCGACCATTGTCACCACAAGTCAAAATTTGAGTCGTCCTTTATTTATTTTTTATTTTCTTAGGCTGCACACAATCATCTTCCCGTAGAAATAGATGTCTGCAGACTGAGCCCGGAAATTAGAAGTTAATTTTTTTTTTTTTTTTTTGTAATTTCTAGCTTTATTAGTTTCTCTATTAATATTCAATTTTGATTTTAATAAATTATTTTTTTGAAAAAGAGAAAAAAGTTAAAGTCATTACATTTTAAATGATTGAAGTAATATATTATCAAAGTTTATTATATACTTTTTAAAAAATAATAATATATAGTACTATAGTCGAATAATTTTACTCATTTTATCACTATGCTCAAGTTGGCCCACCATCATTCTTTTTTATTTATCTAATATATTCTAAGGTTTAAAAAAAAAGTTTATTGGTTAAAATAATTAAGAGCCCGAAGTTTAAGAACTAAATAGAAACAAGTGTCAAATTATAACGAAATTTATCATGCATTTAGTAACGATCCCAATTAGTCAAAGCTCAAAAAGTCAAAGGTTTACGTGTATATTTTAGTAACTAAAAGCAAAATAATAATAATAATACCATAAAAAGATACAAGTCGAATGAATTTTTTTTTTATAAGGTGTGATAATCTCCCCTGGTAGATGCGTTTTAAAATCGTGGGACTCATAGTGATACGTAACTGGTATAAAGCGAACAATATCTACTAACAGTGAGCTAGAGCTGTTACAAATGGTATAATAGCCAGACACCGAGTAATGTGCCGGTGAGAACGCTGGCCCCAAGAAGATAAATGGTGAGATTTCACGTTGGTTGGAGAGGAGAACGAAACATTTCTCATGAGATGTGGAAACCTCTCCCTAGTAAATGTGTTTTAAAACCGTAAGATTGACGGTAATACATAGTGGGTCAAATGAGTTGTTACAAACGACATTTACCATATATGTAGTAACGATCTCGATTAAGACCTAGAAGTTTAAAGAATAAATAGACACAAGTGTCAAGTTAGAATGACATTTATCATGCATGTAATAACGATCTCAATTAGTCAACGCCCAAAAAGTCGGATAGTTACATATATTTTAGTAATTAAAAGAAAAATAATAATAATACCATAAAAAATAAAAAATAAAACACAATCATCCAATCAAATGAAAGATTTTTTATAAGGTGTGAAAATTTTTCCCTAGTAAACGCGTTTTAAAACTATGAGATTGATGGCACCAGCCGAAGCGAACAATATCTACTAGCGATAAGCTAGAGTTGTTATAAATGATATCAGAGCTAGACATCGAATGGTGTGCCGGTGAGGATGCTTGTGAGGTTCCACGTTGGTTGGAGAGGAAAACCAAAACATTGTTTATAAAGTATGGAAACCTCTCCCTAGTAAACGCTTTTTAAAACCATAAGGCTAACGGTGATACATAATGGGTCGAATGGGCTGTTACAAACGACATTTACCATGCATTTAGTAACTATCTCACTTAAGACCCGGAAGTTTAAAGAATAAATAGACACAAGTGTCAAGTTAGAATGACATTTATCATACATGTAATAACGATCTCAATTAGTCAGAGCCCAAAAAGTCAAATGGTTACGTATAATTAAAAGCAAAATAATAATAATACCATAAAAGGACACAATCATCAAGTCGAACAAAACGTTTCTTATAAGGTGTGAAAATCTCTCCCTAGTAGACACATTTTAAAACCATCAGGCTGACAGCAACACACAACCGGCCGAAGCGGACAATATCTATTAGCAATGAGCTAGGGCAGTTACAAATGGTATCAGAGCTAGACACTAAGCAGTGTGCTAACAAGTATGCTAACCCCCAAGATAGTGGATGTTGAGATTTCACATTGGTTAGAGAGGGGAACGAAACATTCCTTATAAGATGTAGAAATCTCTCCCTAGTAGACGCATTTTGAAACAGTAAAACTGATGGCGATACGTAACAGGCCGGATGGGCTCTTACGTCCCTTTGCATCGCCTTTAAAAATTCCTCATTCTGGATAACTTCCTGAACTTCCTTATAAAGAGACTAAATTCCAGCTTTTAATATCAAATTCTCACTCAGTTTCGGTGTTCATCAGTATATTCAGTATATTCAGTACGTCCACAAGAATTGAAGATCAAAATGCTTAGAAAAGCTATTGAATCTTACATCCATGGCAAAGTAAGTGAAAAAGAATAGTACGTGTTAGTAAATCTTTATGATCAGAGAGATACAATACAAATTTTGTAGTATGGAAGAGAGGGAAAGCATCATTCACAATATTCACCTTGAAGAAGAAGATGGCAGAGAATGATATGGTAACATCCATTGTCATCCCAGAATTGATGCAGCTTTTGGTTCATTGTTTCTATTTGCTACCCCTAAAAGCAGATAGAGAGAAGAAAGACCTGCCTACTGCCACGTGAGTATAAACAACAAAGAGTTAAAATCCATGTGTTCGCAAGCAATGGGAAAACAAGAATGCAACTCATACATATCTCTAACCTTTAGTAGAAGAAACTGTAGCATGATCATGGCTTTCTTGGAACTTGGAACTAAAATTCTGTGCACCATATGTACCTACATATCAACGGGTCCACATGTTAAAATTTCTTCCCCGTTTATGTTCATAGTTGAAGCGTGAACTCAGATTAATGTCTGAACTCAAGCCCACTACTAGCTGGTATTGTCTTTTTTGGCTTTCCTTTTCGGGCTTCCTCTCAAGGTTTTTAAAACATGTCTGCTAGGAGAGGTTTCCACACTCTTATAAACAATGTTTCGTTCTTCTCCCCAACTAATGTGGGATCTCACAATCCACCCCTTTCGAGGTCCAGCGTCCTCGCTGACACTCGTTCCTCTCTTCAATCGATGTGGGATCTCATAAAAACAATAGAAAAGCGTAAGTAAATAAATTGCAACAATAAGGGGAAAGATCAAAACCTGAGTATAGTTTGTCATGATCAAAGCTTTTGTCAAGAGAAGCCTTTACAAGACCAGAGTTAAGTGTAGCTTTCATCAATAGACTGTCCATCTTTTTTGTGTTCAGAGATTTAGATTCTTCAGAATCATCCTCACCCTCAGAAACCACGGAAGGGCTCGACCAACCACCCATGTTTGCTTCTCCCTTGTTTTTCCTTGCAAATTTTAGGACTCTCTTAAATCCTTTCGGTGCACCCCTTTGATAGTTCATCATGGGAGGATTTTCTGCAGTGCCCCAATCATTATTATCAAGTTCGTTATTGTCTTCCTGCAGCATTTGAGACAAAGAGAGACGAACGGGGCGATTTTCGATTGGTATCTCTTCAAACTCTTCTATTTCCTCTATGGACTTTGATGGTATCATTGATTCTCCTTCAGCTACAATTTCCAAAGAAGATTTCTCTTCATTTGGTAAATGTATAGCATCACCATGATCAGCATCTACTACATTTGAAGTAAGCATCTCACTATCCTGTTCATCATTCACAACAGTTTCGATGTCACAACGAGCTGGTGACAAAGCATCCCCTTTATCAGGATCTGCAACCTCAACTTCTTGATCATGAGTCAATTTTTTGCTGTTCTTTGAAGAATCAGCAGTCTTAGAAAGTTTTGAAGGCTTTGTCTTGTTAGCCATTGGACTACTATTGTCTAAGCTATTTCTCGAACCCTTATGGAAGGACTTTGATTCTAGTGGCACTATGCTGCTTTTTTTGGCTATCCTGTGACGGATACTGGACTTCACAGGAACATTGGTATCTCTAGAAGATACTTTTGTTTTTGTTATTGTTCCAATCTTTGTCTGCATCGTTTCCTTCTTCTCATTCACACGCCTCGAGTTTCTCGTACTGTCATTAGTTTCCTTGATGTTTTTCTTCTGCACATGGGATCTTTCTGTTTTAGCACTTGATCGATTAAACAACGATGCTGGTTGAGCTGTCGGACGAGTTGGATTCACACTGGCTGGTGTAATCCCAGAAGATGGCCATGACTTACGTGTGGCAGCTATTGGTTTTGTTCTAGATGAAATCTTTTCAATCATGGATGGTTTTTCTGATTTAGATAAATTTGCTGGTGGAAGAACTTCAGGCTTCCCTGTAGCATGTTTTTTTGTTACATTAACTTCAGCAGAGGCTATCTTGGATCTCCTATCATCTGCAACACGTCGCATTCCCTTCGTTTTTACCTCTTTATTCGTACGTACCTTAGCTTCCTCGGCTCGACGCTTTTCGTATCTCTTCGCCTTGTATTGATCATATAATTCACCCCTTTGCTCAGAACAGGCATCTTTCTTTCGATTCACTTGAGTATTATTTTGTGCTACATGTTTACTTTCCATCACTTTATTCATCATTTGGTCCAATTCTGCTTCCTTTCTCCGGCTCCATTCTGAATTTGCAGATACTTTTTCGACAACTTCCCGTGGTTCGCTAATGGGAGAGCCTGCTTGAGTCTCTGGTGGATCAGAAGCTTTAAGTTCTACAACTTCAGCAGTTGTACAAGCTTTTTCCTCCGCTACCTTACTCTTTGGCACATGTTCATCAAAATCACGGCTGATTGTATCAGGTTCATCACTAACAAGCTCTGAGTGGCATTTTGTAGAAGCATCTCCCATGCCTGTACTCCATCTTCTCAATACAAATTTATTTGCACCAATGGTTATGCTTGTTAATGATCTTCGTTTCTCGACTTCGGAAGCATCGTTTCTCTGTTTGCTTTCGAAAAGACTGATAGCATCCTGAACTGATATTCTACCTACATTGCTATCGGCTGTTTTACTGGTAGGCTCTGATCCTTCCTCATCACTATTAGCTGCTATATCTCCTTGAGAAAAACTACTGTCTCTTGTTTGCAGACTCCTAATCATTATCACGGGTGCTCGGTGTCACGGTCCTACATTCTTGACCGTGCGGTGTCGTGATCTATACACGCTCACGACCAGCCTTAAGGGGAATTAAGCCCCATTATATTTTTCGCCCCGGCTTTGTGGCTTCGTCGGACCTTAGACGAGGTTTGCCTTCGCCAATCGAACATCGCTTGTGCGGAATCCAATCTTGTTCAACCACACACGCCGCCTGTGCGTGTATGTTCAATCATCTGCGACACATCCGACTTGCCTCTACGCTAGGCCAACCCATTCGGCTCGACCTTGCCTCTGCTCGGGCCAAGGTCTCTCAATACAACGTCGCATCTCATCTTGCCATCTCGATCCCCATCGACAGGGTCCATATGTCTTGACGCCATCCCGAGTCTCGGGATGTCGTCGCTCATCATAGCTCGTTCGGTCATGCCATCGAGAATGGGCCCACATGTCGTTCATCTCATCGGGACTTCCCGAACATCCATCCATCCGGGTTCTATCGAGGCATAGGCAATCCCGTGCCCATGCCGAGTCATTTGCGGATACCGTACCGGATAGCGGGTGTATGTAGCAACCTCCAACACGCGGGCTAGGGCGCAATACCGGCACACCCGTGCCGTCCGGTACTGTCCTTCAAAAACCCATTTCAAAGGAAGTCGCCCCGAGACACTCGTCTCGACACGCTCGTCCACACTGTGACACACGTATGTGCCACAGGGTAGCTCACTTAGGCCACAGGGCCCAGGGGTGGTGGAGAGCTAACACCACGGTACCCCCTATAGTACATTTTGAGCCATTTTCATTCTACCAGGAGTAGACATGGTTTTCGTGAGGTGTCATACGGTGTCGTGCATTGTCCGTCCCATGTCCGATTGACACCAAACTTGGCGAGTATTCATATTTCATATGGACGGACTTAACTCCCGAACCGCATGCCCAAATTCCTTCCAAAACCTCGACTTTTGAGGTTAAGGCCCGGGGCCCTACCCGGCCCTTCAACAAGCCTATCTTGTCCTTCATGTCTATGTTGATGTCTCTATTATGCTTGTGTCTCAACATGTCTTCAATGCCCACTTTGCGTGGTGGTGTGTTGGATGTGCATCGTCCTCCTCGATCGCATCATGGCATTCTTCTACATTGGCCCGCATATGGCCGGATGGGCGTCTCTTGAGGGACGCCCCTTTGCTTGTCATGGCGTGAGGGTCACAACCTACTCTCTTCATAGTAAGGTTGTGACACTCGGCGGGATCCCGTTCTTCCTATCTGAACCCTTCTCATGGGTGATGCTGACCTTCTCGGAGGTGCTGACCGTGCCATTGTTCTACTTCTTTCTACCAGTGTCCCATTTTCATCAGATTCCTCACTTTCTGATGAATCCTGTCGCTCAACCTGTGCAACTTTTGCAGGTGAAACACCATAATTCACTTGAGTTAACGAATTCGATGTAACCGTGTGCCTATTATCGTCGTCGTCGTCGTCGTCAACAGGATCGATACTATCACTCTTTGGATTTAGTTCCAAATATTTGTATGCACAATTTCTGCAGAGTTGTGAAGATTGAGCACATACTGAGTTAACGGATATAGCAGAAATGAAGTTTGTTTTCATTTTTTAACAACAAACAGGCAAGCTTTTACCAGGAATAACCTACTTCAAATTTGTAGCTCCGAAATGTTCCATAAACTTCACTAAATGACTGATTTCCTTAGAACTGCAGGTTGCATTGCAACCCTTTTCAAATGATGCAGTGAAGTCCTTATTCAATGCTGTGAGCCTCAATTCCATAGCTCGCAACAATTCGTTTCTGGCATTCATGTTTGCATAGTTCACAGTTGAACAAACCAATTCTATGTTTTGTAAGAAACAGAACAGATAATTAAGAATTCAAATAACCTACTTAGATTCAGCTGATGAAGTAAATTCAGCTCCAGACTGTCAACACAATAAATTAAACTTCACCAGCAAGGAAACATCATAGGAAAATGGCTTCAAAAGATAGCATGAACCACTACCTGACCATATAAAGAAACATGAAATCTCCTGGTTTCTTCTAGTTGAGCCATCTCGTTCATCGTTTTCGTGATTTTCGTTAACTCTGGCGAGCCAACTAGATGGAGGAACCTGAGTAGAGAAGTAAGAGTATTAACAAAAATGCACACTTCAGCTGATAATCCAAATAATGTAGTTAGAATAACCTGGTTAGAGTAGATTTTGTGAACCATGCTGAACCAGCTGAAGAAGCTGGTGATTGGAGTTTAATGCTCGCTTTAGATTCTTTGGCATTCAGCTCTTGTAGTTCCAGTAAATGTGGCAAAAGGGTATCCAGAATCCCATCAGCCAGAACATCTACCTTATTGCCACAACAAGCAAATGCCTCATATCTGTACACACTCATTCCCATCAAGAGGGGAAAAGCTTTCAGGACACGAAATTATGAAATTTTATTAAACAAAGTGATAGTGAGGAGAACGCAGACACCGGGGAGACTCTCGTCTACTAGGGAGAGGTTTCCACACCCTTGTAAAGAATGTTTCGTTCTCCTTCCCACCTCCCCAACCGATGTGGGATCTCACATATCCTATGATACTCGTTCCTCATCATGTAATTGAATCGACATTGACCGACAGTAATGGTAGAACATGTTTTGTACAAGCAGAATCTCATCTACATTGTTGTTTCCAACAGAAATGGCAAAAAAGAAAGAGGAAAACCTGTTCTGAGAAGGTATGATCTGAATGGTGGCATAATCTAAAGGCCCATCATCATCTCCACCACTCATTTCGATCAGCTAAACAAAGAAGCAGATACTGAAACAAACACAATGCTACTAAGTTCAACAGAACAAGCAACACAAATTTGAAGAACAGGTTGTCAAAATCATCAAGCATATATCATTAGACAATTACTCGTTAACAATTTACAACTTCCAGATAAACAAATTCTACCCATCAAACCCAAGCAAACACACACAGCCCAGATCTGGAAAATCCCTGCAAAACCCATCAATTCACCAGAAAAACCCTAGAAGCAACGGCAAATTCCCAGTTCTCTTCAAATGCATTTTCTCGCACAGAACTCACTCAAACGCCGAATTCTTCAACTACATTGATGAAAAACATTGAAATGGTACCTGGGGTTTGCAATCCGGCCGGGGATGACGGAGCAAGGCAGAACATAGACGGAGAAATCTATCGGAAAAAAGAAAACGAGCGATGGGGAGTGAAAATTTGAGGTCCAGTAGTTCAGTGGAAGTCCTAATCTGCCGCCCTTTCAACTAGAGATTCTCTTTTGCGAGGCTTAAATCGCAAGAACTGAATTCGATCGAGAGCTTCAATTTAAAAGTAAAAATAAAAAATAAAAAAAATCTTCCAAGTTACGAAACTGATAATTGCACTGAACGCGTGAAGCTCACGCCCTATCCTCCATTTTTTTTCTTCCAAACGACCATGCTTCCATCAGCAGAGTTGTGTCGGTTTCCATTTATTCTTATAACTCTTTATTTTTTATTTCCTGTCGTTTTTTTCCCTCTCTTTCTTTTGTTATCATTGGAGAATCATTACATCATTTTCGTTATTTTTGTTGTGAACTTCTCAATATGTCTCATATTATAAATTCATAATCTTTCATTGAATTAATCAACCTCAGACTCACTCGTTAATTATATATATTGCATTTAAAGACCGTTGGTTTTGTTGGATGTGGACGTTGCTGGACTTGTAAGTTCAAACTTCAAACCCGCCCGCCCGCCAGCCCAATAATGTGCCGAAAAAAATGTGAAGTTATAATAAAATAATACATAATAAATGCATTATAATATGCTGTCTGCATGGTCCACTCTCATTGAGCCCAAGCTAAACATGTTGTTTGAAATGGGCCAATTTTTTTGGGCTCAATGATTTATTATAATAAACTTAGGCCCACGTAAAATAAATATGACAACAGACCAACTTACACGGTAAAACACATATAACTCTCTACTACGACAGTTCAAGCTCATTACTAATAGATATTGTCCGCTTTGGTCTATTATCTATCGTTATCAGTCTCATGATTTTAAGATGCGTTTGTTAAGAGGAGGTTTCCCTCTCCAACCAACGTGGGATTTCATAATCTACTCCCCTTGAGGTTCCAGTGTTCTCGCCCACACACCGCCCGATGTATGACTCTAATACCATTTGTAACAGTCCAAACTTATAATTCTAGCGTCCTCGTTGGCACACCATTTAAACCGATGTGGGATCTCATAATTCATTCTCTTTGACTCTGATACCATTCGTAACCACTAAAGCCTACCGCTAGTAGATAATGTCTATTTTGACCCTTACAATTTTAAAAAGCATATGCTAAAGAGAGGTTTTACACTTTTATAAGAAATGTTCAATTCCCCTTTCCAATTAATGTGAGATCTCACCGGAGTGTAAATGATTTATACGAGTATTAGTTAGTTTTATTTTACAGTCACATTTTGATCTCGATGACGTTATAATCATAAATTAAGTATCAATTTGTTTTTACTTTTTTAATATATTTTTATGATTATTATAGAATATATGTTTGAAGTATTTATTAAATGTGATTTCTAATTAATTTAAAGCAAAATCCCTAATTTTGTATGATTTATATTCGTATATAAATATAATTCAGCTAGTTAATATATAAAATATTAATTTTACGCGGTATTAAACGAAAAAAAAAGATATAATATTTCATCGACAAGTGAAAATTACATTACATTGGAATTCACCAACATATTTCTAATACGATATCCTTAAACGAACATAGACCATTTTATGTTACGAAAAAAGTGGATCTACATATCGACACGTCAACCAATATTTCGATAACTCAAAATTTAAAGCCTGTAGTCATTGTTACTGATTTGGATATTGATTTAAGTTGTCTTCATCGTACAATCTTTATATGTGGATGTACTACAATCTCATCTTATCAAAATATGCGTCAAGAATCTCAACATCAAATCCAATTTTTTTTCCTTTCATTATTTTTATTAACAAGAAATTCGAATTTAAAGATATTAAAAAAAAAAAACTCCGTAGATTATAATTTTAAAAAAAATTAAAAGTAATTACTGATTAAAGAAAACTCTTTATTTGGCTGGTGTTTTTTTTTTAAATATTTTTTGGGGTTAATATAAAAATAAGTAAATTATAAATAGTATTAAAATAATATAAAAAGAAAAAGGAGTTTGAAAGGGAGGTGATGGTTCAATGAATATAAATAGACGTACATAGAATTAATATATATTATATAATTATATAATATGAAAAGGGATGGGGATATTGAAAGTGATGTATGAGATATTAAATATTAGGTATGGAGTTGTTACAATTGTACAGCTATGTGGGGCCTATGCCTCTCCCCTACAACTTCCCACAAAAACGCCTCAAATTAATTTAATTTTTATTTATTTTTTTAGAGTTATTTTTAGATAAATAATAAAGTTAAAGGGTATTTTTATTAATTTATTAATATTAGTGAATTAATATATTAATTTATATATTATATAAAAAAAAGTTTGGCAAAAGAAAAGAAAAATAATGTGATATATACACCGATTATAGTGATGGTGAAGAGAGAGGGGGTTGGTCCCAATCCAACTCAAGTCTTTGTCCCAATGGAGTTTGTAGTCAACCTCTCAACTTCATTGGGTCGCAAATTCAAAGGTTGAATTTTTTTTTATTTAAATATTTTTAATATGGAAACAATTAAATAATATTATGTTGAATTTATCTGCATCTCGAGATTTAAATATTTAATATTAGAGAGATCTGATAAATTATTAGAGAATAGTATGATCTGATAAATTATTGGAGAAGAGTGTCACAATGTAAGAGATCTAAATTTTGACAATACGTTTACTATTCAATTCAACTCGTCAATAATGTATTTTAAATAAAAAAAATATAAATCTTTTTTTTGTTAAATAAAAAATTGAAAAAGGATGGATATTATAAATGCGTGACAAATATTTAATACACTATTTAATACACTTTCCTCCATCAATGTCTCCACCTAACTCGCTCATTCATTCTTATCATTCTTTTTTTTTTTTTATCCAAACTTAACAGTAATTAATACGATACATTATTATTTCTGTCTTTTATGGTTTGAATTTATTTATATTTTGTGAGTAAAATTTTAGGTTAAACACTTATCCAAAACAATATCCATAAACTTAAAAATAATAATAATAATAAATCAATTATATATCCTTCATTTTTAAAAAAAATATAAAAAAATATCCTTAAAGTTAAAAAATAAATAAATAAAATAAAAAATACCATTGTGATTAGCTTTGAACGAAAATATTTAATTTTTTTTGTTTCCATCGACTTTGAAGAGAGTTATAAATATTACACTTAAATTTTTCAAAAATACATGAGTATTTAAAAAAAAAAAAAAAAAAACTCTTAAATTTTCAAAAGTTTCATTAATACTCTTATTTCAAAAAAAAAATATATATATATATATATATTTAAACTTTAAAAAATAATTTAAACTTTATAAAAAAAATTTTAAAATACCCTAAGTAATTTAGTTAATTTTTTATACTTAATACGTTTTAAACCTACGCTAGAATTATGTATTAATAATCTTAAAATAATAATTAGTTTAAGGTTTTAGTCGCTAATATTTCCAAGATATAAATTTATTTATTTTAAAAAATTATGATACTCTAACCAATGGAAAGTTTTTGAAATAAAATATCAACTTTTTAAAAAAATTTAAAAGAAATTAAAGATAATTTAAAAAAAAATAGTAACCATTTCTATCTATAGGATTACAATAATTGAACGAGAGAGTAAGAATATGAAATTCCATGTCCGTTAAAAAGAGGAACAAAATATATAGGTGTTGAACCCGTGAGTCTGACGGTTATACTCAACAGATAAATTTTGAAAAAAAAAAAGAGGCGATGCTTGCATTGACGGACCACGAGTGCAAAGAGCTTAACTCGACCATAAACATCGTATATTGAACGGTGTAAAACTATTGATGTGATTGCCGATAAGATCTCGACCATCTATTGGTAATGATAATAGATCACATGTGAAGTGGGGCTTGTAGTTTTGTTCCTCTCCCTTTTATCCAACGTAGTTTTCACTCCCCATTCACCTCCTTCTCTCTCTTCCATCACTCTCACATTTGACTTTTTCTTTTTCTATATAATACCAACAACCATTCAAGCAATTGAGCGTAACAAAAAGACGGGGGTTGTAATGGGCGGTTTGGGGTCGGTTCTTTTCACCGCCGTTGCAGTGGCGGTGGTGGCAGTAGTGGTCCATTTTTACTATGGAGTGTGGAGGAGGACGGCAGAGATTAGGAGGAAGCTACGAGCACAGGGAGTGACGGGACCGTCGCCCTCGCTTCTGTACGGAAACTTGCCGGAGATGCAGGAGATCCAGTTGGAGGCGGCGGCGGCGGCCATGGCTTCTCCGCCACATCATGCGTCGGTGATTGTTGCTCATGATTATACCTCCACTCTCTTCCCTTATTTCGTCAAGTGGAGGAAACAATACGGTATTATTTTATTATTATTATTATTTATTTTTTTGTTAAATTACAAATTAAATCTCCTCGTGTTCATGTTGTGCATATTTTGGTGTCAATTTTTTTTTATTAAGAAAAGAGATTTAATCATGTAATGTTAACATTAACATAAATAATAGAATTCAAAAATATAAATTTCTCAAAATTATTCAACATTTTTTAAAAAAAGTTTTATCTTTTAAAGTTAAATTTTTAGATAATGAAATGTTATATTAAATAGTGTTGTACGTTTGAAGTTTTCCGAGCTTTGAGAAATGTGAAAGTCGTCTCACTTGGTCAATGAAATTTAAATTAATTATGATTTTTTTTATATATTTATTGTATTTATAATTTTAATAAAAATGTCATAAATCGTCCATAAATAAAGACTATTTATAAACGTTTTATTAAAAACTAATTCTAACCTGAATTAAATTCTATTTTTCTTCTAATTTAATATATTAAATTTATAATTCAAAGTTAAAATATCTACTAAATTTATAATCATTTATAATAATATTATAATATTATGAGTAGAGATTTTCGACCGAGAGTAAATGCAGTTCTATTTGATACTCATTGTTAAAATATTTCTTATTTTTTTCTGTCATTTATTTATAATAAATTTTATCTTTATTAAATAAGATTTAATTTTTTAACGACGTTTTAAAAAAAGAAAATTTGATTTTTTTTAAGTAGACTACACCTTATTTTATTATTTATTTTTTATAAATATATGTAAATA